CCTGGCGATCACGCTTTTCTGGAGCATCTAACGGGCCCCTATCAACTGTGGTCGAGATTACAAAAGCAATATGTAAGTGGTGCCATCTTCACGGCGCCATTCAAATTACCCGAAATTAATATACTTTTAAACTCACTCAGTAATCAGGACATTTACTCTGATTTAGGTACGAGTGCACCAAATGTGAGTTTACGTGAAGAATTTATTTAAGGAGTACCTATATTTGAATTAAAGTAGTCAGTTTTAGTTTAAATATAATCACAAATTGATCAAAATCATATTAGAGGAAAAGTCAACTCTGAATTGGTTTTACATACTCAGAATAGAATCAAAAGTGATTGATAGTTAGCAGTAACTCGGATTTGAGTAAAACTCACTCATTTCTGATGCAATAGTTTCACTCATTGTCAGTTGTACTCATAATAATAGGGTGAAAATTTCACTCAATTGGGTGTGGACAGAAATTGATACATTATTGAGTAAAACTGAGTGTTTGAGTGAAATTTTTTTACAGTGTAGTATGTTCAACATTAAAAATCTAAATCTGAATTCTTACAGCCTCTTTGTGACTCCCCCTGTAAAAGATATGTATGCAATATGCATGTACATGAGATTTTTCTTAAACATCTTTTTTAATTTATTTCTTCTTTCTTAAACGCCTTCTAACATTATATCTTCCCCACGTCCTTTTTTTGGAAATATTTTTAACTGTGACGAAGAGCGTATATGTATATTTCTTACTTGTCTCCTAAATAATAATAGTTTATTTACTTTTCTACACGTCAGCAGGCTTTTTATTTATGTGCAATAAACGTTGAATTTCCACTCTCAAAATTTCACTTAAAATAAAATTGGTGCCACCTGGACTGAAATAAAATAAACTATTTCGATTCACAATATTTTTCTACAGCAAAGCCGATTTAATTTTATTTTATTTCCCGTAGGCGCAGAGTACTTCCATATTCCTAAAATAAAATGCCGCTTTTAACTTTCCTTCATAATGAGTTACGAGTATACTAAAGTAGATGTTGAGCATTCAAATACAAAGATGCAGGTTGTTAGAAAGTGAAGTAATAAATAATACTTACTCTTATTTAATAAAAGGATAGGCAAATTTTAAATTTTTAAAGACAAAACCAAATTGTTTTACCAAATTTAAATTACACCACAATAAATTAAAAATGCTTTTATAAATCAGCAAGTTTAGTAAAATATACAAGTTATCGAGATTAATGGAATTTTTTATATTAACAAGCTATCTATATAACCTGGCTAACACATACCAATACATGCTTATAATAGATGAACTTAGGCTGCCTCTACTATATTTTAAATAAAAATTTAACAAGAATGTGAAACGTTGAAATATATCAATGATATTAATAATATATGAATAGATATCGGAAACGTTAGGGTGACTGCAATGTGGTACAGGGTTGGCTGTAGGCCGAGTTCTCTCTTATGTAATTTTATTCAAACATAAAGTGACACAACCGTTGCCTTCGTAATAGTATGAAGCAAAAAGGGACAGTATCTATTTTTCTACACTAAACACTTCACATGGAACTTACCATAGGTATAGTACGTAATAATAACTACCAGCAAAAGTTAACGAAATAAAAATTTCTTATGGCTTGTTTACACGGGAACAGTCAACTAAATTTTAACTAAATTTTAAGTCACTTGAACCTATTTGAACAGCGCATATGTGGTAAGTAACAAGTTATGGAGCAAGTAAAAATTTAGTACACTGGAATAGAATTTATTCTATTTTTTCGTGCAAGTTGACGACTTGCACCGAACTTTTCCCTCCTGCTGATCCACTTTCGCTCCCAAAGTCGTTTAGGTCTATTTTTCTCTTCATATATTTCTTCATTTATTTCTTCTAATATAATATTTAGGATATTTCGTAGTATGCCATTCAATTCTTCTACAAACTGCTGCCTCACGTTCATCTCGTCAGGTTTGCAAATATTTATAAACTGCACTAGAACTTACCAACAACTAAACTTAGAACTTACCAGTGCAAACATCACTTGCAGAAAAGGCAGTAACTTAAAATTTAGTTACCACTTACCTACTGTCCCCGTGTAAACAAGCCTTTGAAGGAAAGCGATTGTACAAAATAATTGACAGTTGTGCTAAGTGTTCCAAAAAATATGGGATATGTGTTAATAAATATTTTCTGTAATATCTTCATAACCGAGCATAATTTCGACTTTTGATAGGTACCTATACATTTTTTGTCTAGAATAAAATTATCTACCTATTTCTAATAGTTGCATGTAAAAATTTAAATGTACAAAACAATTACAGAAGAATAATCACAACGGGTTGTAGTAAAATGAACGTCCTGTATTATTTAACCTAATACAAACATAATTACTGCATACTTCATGAAGAGAAACTAAGCAACAGCAGCATTTTGCTCAAATCAAACTGGGTTCTGAGTTAAGGAGAAAACGTGAAATAAAAAAAGGAAACTTTAACACCTTGCAACTTTTTTCGTTGAAGCAAGTTTGGTTAAATATAAATACCCTTGAAGTACCTAACATTCGTTAGGTGACAACCTGTATATGAATGACTTACCAAATGCTTTTGAAATTTACAAAAATTGAAACAATGACCTAAGTATGTCTTTATATTTTGAAAATCCCGATTAAAATAAGCTCAAATACAGCAACAATATTTTTATTTTGTAATTTTTTCGAATTCTGGTAGATGGCAGAAAAATATAAACACTTGAATTTTTAAAAAGAGCAGCCTGTAGATTTCGATATACAGGGAGTTCTACAAGTTCTATGATAAACTTTGACAGATGATTCGTTTTTGTTTAGAAATTACAAGCATTTAAAAAAATATTATGTCATATTTCAAAGTGCCTGTTAAATAAAAATCATGGTTGCTATAACAATAATTATTATTTGTGTTTAAAGCTTAAACATTAGTTAATCTTTATTAACCAAATTAACAAATCCTAAGACTATAAAAATTATTCAAAATGTCCACCCTTGACTCAAATGCAAGCCTCAACATCGGCGAACTAAAGATTCCGTCACTTGACGGAGGAGAATTTTGATCATTTCTTATCTGATTAATTCTTTCAATGCATTCAGGATACAGATGTATTCCCATTTGAATACCCTTTTGCAAAGACAATATCACTTCACTTCACTTCACTTCACTTGTAAATAAATGCATTTTTTATTTAGCACTTTAAAGCTAAGTGTCAAATGAATTAACAAAATGATATTTGATTGAAATATGAAATTATATATTTTTAAAATGTTTGTAACTTCTGAACAAAAATATTATAAGAAAAAATGTTTGAAACTAACCCAGTTACCATCTGCCACAGGTTGTCATAGAGAACACCCTGTATATGTTGTTTTACACAAATAAATGAAGAGTTAATAATAAGGCAACTAATTATAATATACTGTCCATAGTAAGGGAGTATGTAATTATCTATGTAACAATGTGTAGTGTTTTTTTCCTCAACTGTGTGCGATAGTTTCATGAGTGAAAAAATTTACTATTCATACAAATATTAGAATACTTTTTCTGCTAGCAAAACATATATGATATAAATTCAATTTTAAACAATCTATTTTTGCAACTTAAAAAATCGTGTTGATTTTCTAAATTCTGATTTCTAGTGAATTAAAATTAAACCTGTGTTGAGAATAATATTTGGCATTTTATTAGTTTACATTTACCAAACCGTGTTACATCATAAATGCGAAATTTCATTACGAATTTGGTGGGTTGCCAAAATTTCAAATTTATCGCAGCTATTGCAATAATGTTTTTCCCAGTGTAATCAGCAACATTTTCGATCAATTAGCCATAGAGTTATATAAATGTTTGTGATGAATCACACAAATTTTTGAAATTTATTCCATAATCAGAGCATGCAGTTTTTTCAAATAACATCGGCAAAATCTTGTGTTTCGTGTTATTTTCCTATAATTTTATGTAATACATTAACAGTCAAAAGTCGACGTAACTCTGAAGCTAACTTAGATATGCAATTGAAATCTCGCGGTACTTAATCGGATAATACTGACTGCAAATTGTCGATTTTTTTATAATTTTTATTAATAATTATGTATACTGTTAACTCGCCATCACACGCCCTGTATACTGTATAGATAAATATACTGCGTGATTTTGAATTTTGGAATCAATTTTTCTTTTTAATATTCGACCATGTGATTCTCTACAAAACGATGTAATGTAAGAATTCTAAATTGTCTCCTAGTATTATGGGGACAAATCAGAAAAATGTGTACATTTTTATATAAATATTTTTCTTAAAATGGATAATGAGAGATATATCCACTTCGAAGGATGATAGAGATTGTTTTTTGAAAGTCATTAATATTTTAAACTTAGATTTAAGGTATCTGGATATTAATTTCTGCAATATCATTCAAGTCGTAAGCCTTCCATAAGGGGTAATTTTAGACTGTTACTATTTCATCCCCATCTTTTTTATTTATGCTCCATTTTTTTATTTTTTAATTATTATTAGATAAAAGAAGAAGCGATGTTTACATATAAGAAGATATTTGTAAAATTTCACATCAGCAGCATGTGAGTTGAAATGCATTTCGAATATTGTGTTATTTCTTGAAAGAAGGCGACATTATCAAAAGACGAAAAAAATCGTATTTGTAAATGTTAAATTTTTCGTTAAATGGTTCGATTTAAATGTTTTTATATGGGGAAAAAATAAAAAAAATTATAGAAGAAATAGTAACAGTCAACTACCCTTTGCGCAAGACCTTCATATATCCCAAATCTAAGTGTAAAATACGAATATGATTTTTTTGGTGTAATTATCATATTTTGGCTTCAAGGTTATTTGGTAGCATTTATGCTCCTTTGTATAAATACACCCATAATCTGCCAAGCAAATTTAGCCAAGTATTTTCATTACATTCTGTATTAGGTATATTACAGAATATTTTCTAATACCTTCTTAATTGTTTCAGGTTTTTCGTTACTATTATGGATAGGTGCTGCTTTGTGTTTCACTGCTTTTATAATTAGAAAATTCACAACTCACGAAATAGATAACGATAATCTTATATTAGGATGTGTGCTCGTTGTTGTAGTTGTTGTTACTGGGTGTTTTATGTATTTCCAAGAACACAAAAGCCACAAAGTAAGTAATCCAACATTTACAACATTACAACAAAATAACAATATTTTTTTAAATTTTTTGAATTATTAAAAGTACGTTCTTCCTGCATAATTTCTTACATTGAGTTCATGCATATAAAACAATAATTCATAAGTTTATTAATAAATTCATCATATTAACTAACATGAAGGTGACAGCAATTATCATTTACCTGTTTGCTATATTGCAGATTATGGAGTCATTTGCAAATATGGTACCTCCGAAAGCGACTGTGATAAGAGGTGGAGAAACGATGACTATTATGTCCAAAGATTTAGTTGTCGGGGATTTGGTTGAAATGAAATTTGGTGACCGAATACCTGCAGATATTAGGATCATTCAGAGTCAAGGGTTTAAAGTAAGAACATACATTTTAAATTGAGTAATATTTTTCATTTTTGAAAATGTCTACGAAAACACTTGCAGCGTTGAAAAATGTAAATATTTTGAAAGTACAAGAAGCATTTTGGATAATTGTTTTTTTATTTAAATGTTTTATGTTTTTACAATTTTCAGAGTGGAGATATCTTATACATTTTTTATTATTAGCTCTTTCTACTTTTGCTTTACTTTAAATTTAAGTTAATTCAAATTTTCTTAAAATTCTCATTAAGTCAGATAAACTGTTTGATACCCATCAAAAAACATCTTTAAACTACAGAAATAGGTTAATTTTCGTGACTGAATTTCATGTTGTGATATTGGCCCAAAGTAATGTCAAAACCATAGTTGCTAGAAACAGGAATAGAAAATGATTTCTTCAAAACTTTGCAACATCGTTTAATGATGTCACATTCCTTTTTTTTTCTTATTTTAGATAATTATATTTTTGCTTTGCTTGTTTATGAAATTATTTCTTTAGCGTATCTAGTTTTTTAGTACCATATAGTAGGCATATAAGATGAACCAAATTAAATAAGCACTATTGCTAATTTTGTTATTATTGGAGATACAAAATAGGTTAAAGAAGTAACAATTTTTCTGCTGATTAAAATAAACTAAAAGAAACAAAATATTAGGCAAATTATATTATTTTAAGTGGAACACCTTGTATTTTATATTATATTATAACTGAATAGACCGTTTATTTTTTCAACATTGCTTGGGGTAAAGGGAACATTATACGTGTTAGAAAGAGACTTGGAACATATTTTCCGTTACATATAAACGCATCAAACTTATATGATTTATCATCAAGTATTTTTGTTTAACTTATATCAGTCAACAGATTTGCATTAACAAAATAGCTACTTCTTTTTTAGCTGATTTTGTACCTCCAGTAACAACTAAGTTAGCAATTGTGCCCAGTTCAATTAGTTTACCCAATGTATAGGTTAATTTTTCTCGCTTTTTCTTTAAAATTCAAAACATTGAAAAATTAGTGAATACGAATTTAAATATTTCTATATTAAAACAAATAGTTGTTAGTCAATCATTTCCTAGTCCAAAATATTGTCAATTGTGTATTGAAATTCCATAAAATGAATTATTAAAATGTTCCAAGTAGATAATTTTTATTTGTCAGCATTTTTCAGTCTAAAATATCGTCAATTTTGTATTGAAACGAATTATTAAAATGTTTCAGGTAGATAATTCAGCACTCACTGGAGAATCTGAACCACAATTCAGAACTATTGAGTGTTCTAGCGATAATATTCTCGAAACCAAGAATTTTACCTTCTTCTCCACAAATGCTGTCGAAGGAACTGCAAGAGGTACCTACTAAAAACAATTAATAATCAACCTACGTAGAATTTTACGGGGTGTAACAACGACTTTGTGATAAACTTTCAAGACTGATTCCTTGTCAAAAAAACAACAGTAACTTATTTTTAATCAGTTACCCATCTCATATTACTTATCTATACATAGCTTTAAGCGTGATACAGGCAAATTGTCTTTTACAGATTTGGATAACCCATTCCCAAATGAAATTTTTGCGCCTGTTTCTTTTTCTTTTTTCTAAAATACACAATTCACAGTTAAAAATTCAAAGTATGACCAAGTTAGGTGCTCGTTACCGCAAATCATAAGTATAAATAAATTAATTTGCTATAAAATTAAGAAGCACAAAAGTTTTATTTTGAACTGGTCTAAAGAAAGCTGAAAAATCTGCAATTTTTTTTTTGAGAATTGAAACCTCTCGAATCTCTCCTAATTATTATGCCACTGGATAGTACTTATCAAATTGTTTAAGTAGGAAACAATTATATTTTCAGTGGTTATTGGAGTAACTAGTCGAAAATCGTTATTATTGTGTTTTTGTCTGCTTTAACAAGAGATCCCCTTGAAAGAAGGAAAAGATGGTCTTGAAAGATGGAAGAGGTAGTCTTGAAAATTTGACACAACATCACTGCTACACCCTGTATTTAAGTTTCATATGCTAACAATTATATAGAAAAAAACTGACATTAGTGAAACTCTGTAACTTAACACCAACATAAATATTCTTTTACCAGCATAAATTTTCATAGGCATTGTCTGCGAAACTGGTGACCGTACAGTAATGGGAAGGATAGCCGGTTTAACAGCTAGATTGCAACCAAATAAAACCCCAATCGCTCGAGAGCTGGAACACTTCATGAAGATCATTAGTGTATGGGCATGCTTTTTGGGAGTCGTCTTTGGAGCTGCAGCTTTAGGCATGAACTATTCCTGGATCGAAGCCTCTTTATTTCTTATTGGTATCATTGTTGCCAACGTACCAGAAGGTAGGAATAGTCTCACATCCTCTTTATACCATAAATTTGTTGGTGTAATGCATCTATAAAATTATTTATGCATCCCAAAAATTGAGATGTAATGAAAACATGAAATGATATTTCTGATGACAAAATTACATTTGTAACTTTAAAACAAGCAGTAGTAGTATCAACATTTAGTTTAGAGCCGGCTCCACTCTCTAAATATTCACCAAACTAAAAAATGTGTCCAACATTTGCAAATTGCTTGGTTAAAAATCTATAGCGCTTGTGTACTTGCTATTTTTTGTACAAACATAGAGAATTTACAAACTCCAATCTGTGGAAACGAGAATTCATTTTCACAAACTGAAATTTGTAACTGATGTGGTCTTTGCAGCAGATGTCACGTATATTTTGTTGATCTGTCATTCATAAAGGCTTTGATGAATATTTGACATGTGAAGACAGGATTTCGAATGTATCAATATGCATCATCTACATCTACACCATACGACATTTGTATACTTTGACAAATATCAGGCAATTCACCACATCAATGGATACTAAACAATTATAATACAATGTGACAGTTCTAACGTTATGCGAAAGACCTCTTACATTGCTAAAAATAAAATGACTTCGAATTCTTGGACACCAATTAAGAATTCGTTATCCAATGTAAAATTGAAAGGAAGATGGCTAATATGTGGAAATAAAAACAATTATATAAATGTTAAAAGTTTCGTCAATTTTATTTCAACATTCTCAGAACTCTTCGAATCAAATGTTGTACCTATTACAATAAGTAATAAGTTAATTAATATTCATCCAAAAAGTACTTTGGTATTGAAGAGATGTGGAAATAAAATCGATGAAGTGATTAAAAGATTAAAATAAAACTGGATCATTTGTTGGTTGTCTTAAAGATGAGAACTAATAAAATTGAAATCGGCATGTATCTGGTGGGTTCATCCGACGAATGTTGTTTACTAAATTTAACAATGCTGGTCAGGGCATTAGTCTGAAGAGGAGTTATTTCCTGCAATATTAATTAAAAATTTTTCGCCTAGTGGTGACACGGGTCTCAATTTCATTGTATGTACCTGCAACCTTTGCCAATCTGGTCATATCGAAGACCTAGACATTGAATAATTATTAGATCAACACTGTTATATCTCACCCCAATATATAACTGTTTTTTTGTTTTCACTATCCACATATAATCTAGCAAAAACAAGAACAAAAAATACAGATATTCTCGTTATTTCATTTTACTGGTTTATAAACTAATTGTTTTCTTCTTTCCAGGTTTACTTGCCACCGTAACGGTATGTCTGTCTGTGACAGCAAAGCGTATGGCAGCCAAAAACTGTTTAGTGAAAAATTTGGAAGCTGTGGAAACTCTAGGATCCACATCAATTATCTGTTCAGATAAAACTGGTACTCTTACCCAGAATAAAATGACTGTTTGCCACTTCTGGTGTGACGGCACAATTATCGATGCAGACTCTACTACTCAACAAGAGGAAGCGCAAGAATATAATACATCTGAAGGTAAATTCAAAGTTAACTTCACGTAAATACTTTAAATGTGTTTTTAAATAGGTTTTCAAACTCTAATGAGGTGTGCCACCCTTTGTAATAGAGCAGAGTTTGTTCATGGGCAAGAGGATAAACCAATTCAATCCAGGCAAGTTAGAGGGGATGCCTCAGAAGAAGCCATTTTGAAATTCGTGGAACTCAGTCATATACATGGAAATCCGACCGATTTCCGACACAAGAATCCCAAATTACTTGAAATTCCTTTTAGTTCTGTGACCAAATACCAAGTAAGTATATAGAATAGTTCAGGGTGCACAGAAAATATTTAGTAAAATATACAGTTAATGTAATATAATTTCTCTATTTTTATACCAAAATTCGTTATTAAGAAACTAAAATATGAGTCACAAATAAATGACCAGTGGCAAGTATTTGGAATATTTTAAATTCATTAATCCTTTACTTAACGTGTTATTGAAATATTCCGTTTTGCTCTCCCAGAATTATTTCTGTGGCAGATTTCTGAATTCTTAGATTTCCTCTTTCTAGATCAGTATTCACGCCATGGAAGAAGGTGGTTGCCTAGTAGTGATGAAGGGCGCCCCAGAACGCATCTTAGCCAGGTCTTCGAAAATGTGCACTAAAAAGGGAACTGAAGAAATGACTGACGATATGAGAATACTCTGTGACAGAGCTATGACTGAACTCGCGGAAAAAGGAGAGAGGGTGTTAGGTTTTGCCGACTTAATGTTGGACAGTTCTTATACGAAGGATTTTAAATTCTGCGGGGAACCACCCAATTTCCCTAGAAAAGATCTGAGATTTGTTGGATTCATGTCTCTGATCGACCCGCCCAGACCACAGGTTCCAGACGCGGTGGAGAGGTGTAGAAGTGCTGGTATTAGGGTGGTTATGGTAACAGGAGATCATCCAGTAAGTAAAACTTTTTTAATTACTGATAAAGTCTAGTTTACATTTATTTTTTATTTAGTAAACTGTTCAAAAATTAGTCAAGAAATTGTCACAATTGATTACAGTGAGTCAAAAAATTTTCAATTACATAATGTAATGTAATATATTCTCAGAGAAGCTACCTTCACGTAAAATTGCATCAAAAGTTAACCGTTGACATTGGATTTAGAAACCTAATTAACATAAAAAAGTTTCTTGAGAAAAAATTAAGATTAACATAGAAAGCAATAAGATAACAATAATAAATATAAAAAAAATACCAAAACAAGGATAAAAACGCAAGAAAATTGAACTAGACGTACTAACCTATAAATATTTAGGAATCATCATTATGGTGATAGAGAAAAAATAGAACTAGAATTAGCAAATAGAAATAGTGTCTGGAAATACAGCCAATCCATTCTGCTACAAGACTTTCAGTATAAACATTTGTCTTGATTCTTAATAAACTGATAGGTTAGGTCAGATTAGGTTTGAGGGTTGCTTTCACTGTACAGCAAAAACTAAAACGCTCTCTCAACGGTAAAAATAAAGTATTTTTATTGAAAACTAAGTTTGTAAAAAAAGACGTTGTCAGGGCGAGTGTTCGCTGGAGAGTCCCCCTTGGTGTGGAGTCGCTTGCAGAAGTACCTGGTCCTTGGCGCCAATCTGCTGTCGACCTTTTCTTTGGAACCCTGTTGCGTCCTGGGTGGCGTCAGGATGGTGCTATTGACGTTGTACTTAAAAATGGTCACTTGCAGCATGTGTACCCACAGGTTTTTCTGAATGTAAATAATGAAAATCATAAAAATGATTCCATTAATCTTATCTCTCGCCCGTGGACATATTTTCATAAGGGCGTAGGGGGCGATTTCCCGGGACGGCCGAAGCAGAGCCCTTTTTGTAAATTAAAAAAAAATAATAAAAAAGGCACACAATCAGTGAATTTTAAAACCAGATTCTAAAAAAAATTTCATCTTGCTCCTGATCTCGTGCCCCCGAAGCTCGATTGTCTTTAATGGATGCCCCTCTATCTAAAATAAGTGCAAGTTTTTATTTGTCAGCTCGGAATTTTTTTTTTACATTTACTAACAGGTACTGGTCGGTCAATCATATTCGACCAGGGCGCATAATTTAGAAATACATTCCTGCTCTGGTCTTCGTCATGTATGAAATGAAACGTGCATGTAGAGAGCATAATGAATTTTGCTGTTTCTAGACTCTTGTGCTCCTTTCCGTAATTAACTTCCCATAATTGTTGATAAATTAAAATAAAATAATTAGATTTTATTTACGATCCGTTGTTGATGAGCTCTTAACATTTTCCGGTTTCTGGATTCTGGAAATAATTATTTTGAAGTTGTAACCCCTCAGATCCTTTCTAATGTTGATATTTTACATATACTGTGAGGGAACTGCATTATTTGAAGTTTAAAGTCTATATATTCAATGTTCCTTGAGTAATAGATCCAAAACTGTTCATCAAAATTTGAAGGATGAATAATTTAACATGTTACTTTTTCTTTTAATTAGAGAAATCAAGAAAAATTTTGCTGTAACATCGCTCCTGTACCCTCTACATGGTACCTATTTACCTATTTCCATGTGTCAATAAACTGAATTTATTGATCAAAGGTTACTAACTTTTAGTAATAATAACAAACTACCAGTCATTACAAATTTTTAAATTATACCAGCGAATAACATGTATATTATGGAGAGTAAAGGTAAGGAGCATTCTCTCTGTATGTAGAAAGTGTCCGAAAAATAGAGTACAATTAAGATGGCATTACTATAGTTGAAATCCCACATTTGAAAGGAAGCACACTTGGTTAAGGCAGCTATACACGTTACGGTGGACTTGTCAGGTGGATCTGTACAGGCAGATCCATACACTACAGGCAGACTAGAGACCTGAACAATCTACACACGTTACGGTAAAATTCCAACGATTCTTTCAGTTTTAAGCAATGGAATTGAAAGGTGATGATACGTTGGCAATGGTAGGCCTGGTAACAGGTATACCGCAACGTGTGTGACCGCCTTTATACTGTTTATTTACTACTTCTATCGCCAATCCTGGTTGCTCACTAATGCCCTTCTAGCTATTTCTTGAACTACAATGTAAGCGTTTAACCGGACACTGTTACAGCTAATTCTCTATAAGAGAGAATCCTCTTTCTCTCTACACTCCATAATGTGTACGTAGATAAATTGGGTACATTGAATGAATATTAAAAGCCAATATATTCAAAAATTAACAAATAAAACTAGTGCTATTATTTCAAATTCCTTGGGCTAGAACATTTACCACAATGTGTATGTATCAATCAAACAAAATAATGTTTTAAAATAATTTATTATACCTCATGCATATTCCCATATTTATTTTTTCAAAAATTATGTCAAATTTGTTTCCAGATCACTGCCAAGGCTATTGCACAGCAAGTAGGGATAATAAAAGCTAAGGAAGTAATCGAGGTATATAATATAAACACAATAGAGACGCTACCTCCCAACATAAAAGACAAAGCCATAGTAATTCATGGCTCTGCTTTAAGAGACACCACTAACCAAGAATTAGATGGTATATTATACAATTTTAAAGAAATTGTTTTTGCAAGGACTTCACCTACACAGAAACTACACATTGTTGAAGGCTGTCAAAGATTGGGAGAGATAGGTATGGCAAAAGACAAAAATTTATTGCAATTTTAAACTCAATGACCCCTATTTTTCAGTCGCAGTAACAGGTGATGGTGTCAATGACGCACCGGCCCTTAAGAAGGCAGATATAGGTATCGCTATGGGCATATCAGGTTCAGAAGTATCTCAACAATCGGCAGACATGATCTTACTAGATGATAACTTTGCCTCTATTATAACAGGTGTCGAGGAAGGTCGCAGAATATTTGATAATTTGAAAAAATCTATTGCATATACATTAGCCTCTAATGTTCCTGAAATCCTACCATTTTTGGCTTTTGTGCTTTTAAGCATTCCACTTCCATTAGGTAAGTAAATTTTGACAGTTTAATGAGGAATTCATTGAAGAATTTCATAAAATTTTGTAGGTGTTATGGCTATTTTGTGTATAGATTTACTAACGGATATGTTGCCGGCTATTAGTTTGGCTTATGAAAAAGCCGAGAGTGACATTATGATGAGACCTCCAAGAAATCCGAAAAAGGATAAACTAGTAACGAGAAAGCTGTACTTTCTTGCATATGGTCACATAGGCCTGATTGAAGCTTTAGGGGGCTTCTTTGTATACTTTGCTATTATGGCTGAAAACGGATTTATGCCCATGAAATTATTCGGTAAGCACTTGGAACAGAGTTAACTTGATTTTTTTTAATGGATACAGGGTGGTCACATGAAAATTGCTCGCATTGCTTCAAGATATGAGAAAATTTGTATAAATAAAAATTGTAGGAAACTCTTTAAATTTTTTAATGTTCATATTATAAAAATAATTGAACATCTAATTGACAATTCATTATTAATTCATGATTTTTTGTTATAAATTTAGTGGGTGTCTATAAGAAATTTGATTTGGTTAGTGACTTATATTTAGATTAAATTTGACAAATTAAATAATTTTTAGTTTTTTGTATACCACAAGCATAAGAAGTTTTTATGAAAATGTGAATATATATTTTTTACTCAGGCCTTCGAGAAAAATGGGATTCTGAATCTGTAAACGACCTCATGGATTCATTTGGCCAGGAATGGACTTATGAACACAGAAAAGAACTAGAATACACGTGTTATACTGCTTTCATGATATCAGTCGTAGTGACTCAATGGGTTGATTTAATCGTTTGTAAAACTAGGATCAATTCGATATTTAAACAAGGTAAGAAAAAATATATACAATAACTTCATATGAAGCTCGATGGGTTGTTTGTCACCTTTTCCTTTATTACCGTAAAATACAAAAAAATATAAAAAATAAATATAATAGTAATAAAATAATAAATCAAATCACACCAAATTCCGTATTGCTGCACTGCACTGCTGGGCAATTTGTCAACCACTTGTCAACAGCTGATATTTATTGCCCAGTGGCCCAATGTAGCTGTGTTTGTATTTCGTTTGCCCGTGCTCGCATTCTTCAACTGGGCGTATACATTTCTACCACCTTCATGTTTAGTTCGACCAGGCTTGTATATGGGTATGGCTAAATAAATATGGGAACAAGTTTTTCAAATATTTCAATGCTGAGATGCTGCATCAGCGACCGAACCTGGTACATACTGTCAACCTTAATATCGGAAAGACTATATTACATGTTTCATATTTAGGCTAATATTGCACTAGAATGCCAAATGGAATACCATGGCAACACAGCTAATTTGCATGTATTTTTAACTAATAATACTGTGAAAGATAACTACTCTGCGGACTACATGCCCTGTTCAGTATTGAATAATTCAACCCACCAACATCTAGTAAACAGTAAAGATCACTCATCAGCAGGATCGCCGACTTTGAATATTATTATTATATTAGTTGTTTACTATAATAGTTGTTTACTTATTGAACACATCGTTCAATAAGTCCCGGGACTAACGTAGAGATGGCGCTAATAATGCCATGTATATACCAAGGTTCAGAAGTACCAACCTTTAGATGAGATGTGTCAAAATTTGATGTAATTCGAAACATAACCAAGAAAGCTATAGTGGTTAAAGTGACGCTACCTTTGCAATCGTGAAAAAATGCCCACACATGAAGAAGAAGAAAGTCATCTTTCATCAAGACAACGCAGCGTGGCACAAGTCACTCAAAACGATGACCAAATTCAACGAATTGGGCTTCCAACTGCTTCCCCATCGCCGGATCTGGCCCCCAGCGACTACTGGCTCTTTGCGGATCTCAAAAAGATGCTCCAGTGAAAAAGATTTGGCTCGAATGAGGAGGTGATCGCTGCTACTGAGGCTCATTTTGAGTCAATTGTATTACACTTGAAGGAGATTATGTTGATGAATAATAAAGAATTTTGCGGATAAAATGTTGTTTTCATAGTTAGTCCCGGGACTTATTGAACGATGTGTTATATTGGGGGTGTATCGCAATGCTGGATGGGGTATCTTGCCAATGAACAGTTGTTTCCTACAAACTAAAAAGTTTATTTCACTTGGTACGATATTACTTATGTTTCATATTGCAAAGAGATTAGTAGGTCACTCTCTGCCAGTGGTATAAAGTAATGCTTTGTGCCAGTAGACATTGAGTAGCAATGACATTTAAAACATATCTGTCTAACTTTTCCGAATTCAAAGTGACATTTTCTTACAGGAATGGGAAACATGGTACTAAATATTAGTTTAATTGTGGAAACCGTAGTGGCCTGTATGTTATCGTACCTTCCTCACATGCACTACTTAAAGTTCTACCCAATACTATTCAGATGGTAATATTTTGAGACTTCCGTTTACCTGTATATAACTTTATGATTTTTCAGGTGGTGCTACTCAATACCGTTTGCCATATTTATTTTTATTTTTGACGAGGCAAGGAAATGGCATATAAGAAAATATCCTGACGGATGGTACAGGAAAGAAACATATTACTAGAGACATTTTAGTATTTGTAGCTATGTAGGTTTAGTATATGAACTATAATTATAGTAACTAGTCAGTGTTAAGAATAATTTTTAATATCAAGTTTAAGTTAAGAAGTGTTGACTTATTTTGAAAGTTGAATTTAGAATTTAGTATGTTATTACCGAGTTTAGTTTAATTTAGTTAGAATTAGAAATCTATTTAGTTAGTAATTTATTTAAATATTATTTATACTATAAACTGCATGTTGCACTCTCATTAAGGACCTAATTGACAGTATAAATTTGCAGTCGTAAAAGAACAAAACCATTTTTCTAAACATAGAAGTTAAATTTTGTACTAGACAATTATATTTTGTTAATCTGCTTCAGTAACAATTTTTAATTGTTATTTTGGTTAACTACTACATCAAATGCCTCTCCTATAAAAATTAATAGCAGCTGCAGGTGTTAGTAACACCTTCATATGTATAAGATAAATGTGTTCATTAAGTATATGTATGAATCAATTATATCTTTAAAACTGTATTAATATAATAAACAATCCTCCAGAAATTATGAATTGTAATATAAATTTTCTGTTAATGGTAGGTAACATATTTTTAACTGTTCTTTTAACAAAAATTAGAGTTAACAAAAAACTTATAATTTTTCTTGTCTGACAAGAAGAGGAACACTGCATATTTATCAAAAATATTATATAAGGTGTGTTGTAATAATTTTTTGAAAGTATTTTATTCATTTTTGTAATTATTTACAAAAAAAACTAAGTTTTAATGTACCTACCTACCTTATACAGGCTGCAACAAATTCGCTTCTCACCACAGAGATCTCGGAAACGGTAAGAGATACGAACTAGGAGCAAAGTTGCGTAATCAGGGCTAACATGATTAGTTTTCGAAATATTTGAAAATAACCGAAATTTTGGAAATACTTTTTTGCTTCATTTCAGCCTTTAGGCCAATCAATAGGGATTTTTTGGCACTCTTAAATATTACAGCAAATTTCATGTATTAACTACAAAAAATCATATTTTTTTTTGGTTTTTTATAATATCTCAAAAAATAATGATGGAATCGTCTTACTCTCAATAGGACTTTTGTAGAAAATAAAAAGACCTATAAAATGGTTTTTTGAGCGACCCGATCGGTTTATTTTTTACAGAGAAAATCTGGAAAAACTGCTAAATCTTTTTTCAAAAATTCATAACTCCGTCAAATTTGTAGCTGGAAAAACAATCTTGCAGAAAATGACAGATAATAATATGTAGTTTAATCGTGCACAAGATGGTTTCTGTCTGATGCATAGTTTTTGCACAATTGCATTATAAACAAATTAGGGTCTTTTTTTGCACAGCGTGGCGATTTATCAAAATAGGTCCGATTTAAATTCTGAAAACGGCATCTGAAAGTAGACGACAAAATCTCCAATTTGTATATCTCGGATTTTCGTCTGGGTGATGGGAAATATGCTAAAAATGCCCTTGAAAGTCACCCGAAATAATCGAAAGTAGGTAAGTTCGAGCTCGCTGCTTCCCCCACTACAGCGTGGAGCATACTTTTGATTGTTTCGGGCGACTTTGAAGGACATTTTTACCATATTTCCTATCACCCAGGCGAAGATCCGAGATATACCAATTGGAGATTTTGTTGTCTACTTTCAGATGACATTTTCAGAATTTAAATCTGACCATTTTTAATAAATCACCACATTGTGCAAAAAAAGACCCTAATTTGTTTATAAAAACTATGCATTGGACAGAAACCATCTTGCACACGATTAAACTACATATTATTATCTGTCATTTTCCTCAATATTGTTTTTCAGCTTCAAATTTGATGGAGTTATGAATTTTTGAAGAAAAGGCTATTTTAGAGGTATTTCTGGATTTTCTCTGTAAAAAAACAAACCGATCGGATCACACAAAAAACCATTTTATAGTTTTTTTTTTCTCTACAAAAGTCCTATTGAGAGTAAGATGATTCCATCATTATATTTCGAGACATTATAAAAAAAAAACAAAAAAATTTAATTTTTTGCAGTTTTTATTGTTTAAAAAAAATTGTTCACGACTTTGCTGGGGAAATCACTTGGGTTTTCATTTACCAAGTATTTTTCAAAAAGAAATACTTGAAATTAGCTATAATATTTAAGTGTAAAAACAGCCTCTTTTTTCGCTGTATTGGTTGGCCTACTTGTTTGAGGTGATATTGAAAAATGAAAAACAGTCAGCAATTACAGAATCGCCAAAATTTTGTACATGAAGTTATATGGACAGATGACAGTAAATTTTCTAAGGGTGTTATTTTCAATAGAAATACAGAACACATCGGGAACTTTATTCTTGAATTATAGAGAGTAGAAGGAGAGAAAGGGGGCGTGTCTCTACTAAAACTCATTAATCGGTGTTCTTGAATGGTGTTCTATTGAGTAATGATGGAAGAATTGTTCCCTATTTCTTCTACTGATATTTTCGGGGGAACAGGCAAGGATCATTAGACCTAACCCTATATTTTTTGACATGTTTCACAAATTACGAATTCCGCAATTTGTCTGTAATATGACTAGTTACTGTTTTGTGGTGATATCCTTCGAGAAATTTGAGGAAACATTAGTATAATTTGTGTTTACTTGAAGGACTGTACAATACATGAATAAAATAATAATAGTATAAAATGGATCTGCCTAATATAGTATTAAAATATTTGTAAGTTCTTCCCAGTTAGCCCTCATTTTCTCTCTAGTGTAGCTGGGTGTTAAATTTCATATACATTTGTTTTTTTACCCTCAAAATATTCTATTAGAAGTTCTTTTTGTGTAGAAATTACTCGATTTAGCTTCAGTTTTTTATTAATTTCCATTTTCTTTATATACTACTACTACTACTACTATAAGGAACCAAATAAAATTGTCATTAAATGTATGGGCCGGTATTTTTGGAGACCGCATTATAGGACCTTTCATCTATGAGGGCAATTTAAACGGTTATAGTTATCTCAATTTTAGGACTACTGAGTTCGAGGCATACGTGCTGAATATTCCATTAAATATATTACCACAGGTATGGTTCCAACAAGATGGTGCACCGCCACACAACACTAGAAATATCAGGGATTTTCTAAATCAAGAGTTTCCCGGACAATGAATAGGAAATGGTGACGTAGTCGAGTGGCCGGCACGGTCACCTGATTTATTCCCCCTTGATATTTTTTATGGGGAACGTTGAAACATAAAATTTATAAAGAAGTTCCCAACAACATAGAAGAATCAAGGGCAAATATCTTGCTGAGAAGAAATATTCAAAGGGCAGTACAAAATATTGCTAGACGGATAGATTTTTGTGTAGAAGAAAACAGAAATGTATTTGAACGTTTACTGTAATTTTTTAAAGTATAATATTCATTTGGAGTTTTGGTTATTCATATGCATTTTTAAGAATTAATTTATGATAATAAAATTAAAATTGTAATAATGTTTTAATTTTGACACAACTTATCGGTTATGTATAACCAGGTGCTGGTAATAGTTTAAATAACTACTTTGATTTCACGGGGTCTAACGACACTTAGGGTGTACATTCAATAAAAAAAGAAATCTAAGTAAAAAATTTAGATAAATTTGAAACAANAACTGAAAACTGAATTGTGGAATTGTGGTGGAACATTTACCTTCCGAAGTGTATCGTATCGTCAATCGTCATTTCATAATCGTCTTGCTTAGTTTCATGGAAATCGGAATTATCGAATGTATTCCGCATGTGTGTTAAGTAAATTCTGATATGTAGAAAATCAAAGACATGTCATAATTATCTTCAATAATGTGAATCAATAAAAACGTTAATTGCAAATTAAGAACTGAAATAATGTGTACAATATCTTACTAATAAAATTACTGGCTTTCACTCACATACAAAGTAAACAAAATACAAATACGCAAAATAAGCATTATTTTATTTAACAATTAAATAACTTTCTTTTCAAAAATAAACACAATTAAAATATAAATATGCAAAATAATCAACTTTATTTTATTTAACAAATTAAAACGTTTTTCTTATGAAATATCGGTGCTATTTTCAAAATTCAGAGGGGTGACACGTGGCACGTGTGTTAGGAATAAAACTCGAATAAAATGTTGCCATTTCTTTCGATATACACTCGTACTCGTATTAAAAAATTAACATAGGATAAATATGGAATGTAAAATAATCGGATGGTATTCCGATTGTAAAAAGATTCCGAGTGCCAATATTCCGATTATTCGAATCATCCGATTATGCCCATCACTAAGCTACATAAAAACAAGAAGTTACTCACAGATCATAGATTAATGATTTGCAGTTAGTCAGCTAGGGAAATTATTACATCCAATCATGGGCAAGCATTTAGAGGACAGCTTGCGCCCTCATTGTGTCTGGAACGAACTAAAATCGAACAGGCTTCATTCTGTACGTTTAAGAATGCAGCTTTCGATTGCAACACTTTAGAGAATTACTCGATGTTATAAATTTTTCTAAAATTAAGTTACTAACTGGAATTACGATGACAATGACGATATGGAAGAAAATATAACTTTTCAAATAGGTTTTTCTACACAGGATGACGGGGTTTCTAAGAAAATTGGGTTGAAGCTGGAACAGTCGAGAGTGTTCTGCATATTTCAGAACTTTATTGGTTGCAATATTTTTATGAAAGATCTTATATTGTACAATTTTGCAAATTTATATACTGAGTGTTTCATAAAAATGAAACAGGTGAACAAGGATTTTTTTCTCATTTCACTACCTACTTTCCTACATTATTAATTGAAATCTCTTGATGTAAATTTATAGTTACTAACAAGACGCTTTCTTTGAAAATCCATATACTGGATGTTCTACATAAAGAATTATCGGTNTGAAGGATTGTACAATACATGAATAAAATAATAATAGTATAAAATGGATCTGCCTAATATAGTATTAAAATATTTGTAAGTTCTTCCCAGTTAGCCCTCATTTTCTCTCTAGTGTAGCTGGGTGTTAAATTTCATATACATTTGTTTTTTTACCCTCAATATATTCTATTAGAACTTGTTTTTGTGTAGAAATTACTCGATTTAGCTTCAGTTTTTTATTAATTTCCATTTTCTTTATATACTACTACTACTATAAGGAACCAAATAAAATTGTCATTAAATGTATCGGCCGGTATTTTTGGAGACCGCATTATAGGATCTTTCATCTATGAGGGCAATTTAAACGGTTATAGTTATCTCAATTTTAGGACTACTGAGTTCGAGGCATACGTGCTGAATATTCCATTAAATGTATTACCACAGGTATGGTTCCAACAAGATGGTGCACCGCCACACAACACTAGAAATATCAGGGATTTTCTAAATCAAGAGTTTCCCGGACAATGAATAGGAAATGGTGACGTAGTCGAGTGGCCGGCACGGTCACATAATTTATTCCCCCTTGATCTTTTTTATGGGGAACGTTGAAACATAAAATTTATAAAGAAG